CCGGACAAGCAAAGAGGATACAAGTTAGTATTTGTTATGGCTAAAATAGCATGATGATGATGATGATGATTTACAGTGGATCAAGCCTTGAGCGTTGGAGAGATAATTGCCTTGGCTTGCAGGGTTTTCCTCGGATGCATTTTTTTCCATCACCGTGGTTAGAGCGTCGTAGTTGTTGTTAGCTTTTGATAAAGGGTTGATCAATAGCACACTACCATCATGGATCCACTTAAAATAGCATGCAACAACGTTATGAGTAGATTGGATCGATGATCGACAATAATGAATACATGTTAGTCTGTCTACCTTTTGCCTTGACATCGCCTGAGAAGATGGATTGGACGCGTTTACACTATGGATGTTGTATATTGTCGCTATTCCACTTTCAATTCTCTTTGAATCATGACAGCTATACTTTTCTCCATTGACTTGTACAATAATGATGATATTAGACACTCCATTTTGACCATAACGGGTGCAATGGCGGAATTCTTGTCGTCGACGTCATTGACTAACGTTCCAATCAGTACAGTACTCGCTATATTTTTACAGGTCTATCTGCCTATCTAAATACAAACTTGATCTACATACGACTTCCATTCTTTCCAAACGGTAGCAACAAGCAATGCAACAATCCATTCTACTCGATCCACTCATTAGGGTAGTTTCATCCAATTCACCAGGATAATCCCATCCTTTTAAGTAGACCAACGATACCAGTAGTAGTGAGCCATAGTTTTTCAAATGCAATCGATCCAAGAGAGAAACGACTACGACAGTATATCGCAATAGGGTCCAATTTTCGATCTAACCTATTTATCTCTGCATTTTTATACAGTAACAAAGTAAAAAGGTCGATTCATTTTTTAGCTACTTTTTCCTAATGAATTTCAGTTTTTATTCGTACACACCAAATATTCAATTGGGCTTGAACGTCAGACTGCATCGTAAAAAATGATGATGATCACGGACGATAAGTAGTCAAATGGAAGAGGGTAGAGTAGTAGTTTTTGGCGGACAATGATTTCAAAAGTGACCAAGTTCGTTGATCATATGCCGGTGTCCAGTATAGTATTGCGATCGTCGTATCGATATATAGTCAGAAAAGAATAAATAGCAGCTACTGTAGTTACACCAATAAAATTTCATTCTGTAGACTGCATTCATTCCGTCATCTTCCATACAAGGCACATCCAAATTAATCATCAACAATGATGATGACTTGCCAAACATCAATGTATATATAAAAATTTAATGGAAAGCACTTTGACTCCTTATGTTGTTCACACGATCAAGTTGCAATTCAATTTTTTTTTTTGTCTCCATATTTGTAAAGAAAACAACTTGACAATTTATCTTAGTTTACAGCAGTTGACGTTATGGATGCTTAAAATCATGTTGTCACCGATGAACTTGGAAAATAGTTGAAGCTTAGCCACCATCATCATTTTTGCCATTGTATCTAGACTGCAATCAGTTTGCAAACTGTTCAACTCTTTTCCACTAGCAGCATGATGGATTATATCTTGTACGTCAATAAACAATTGATGGAACATCCAGATCAATCGTTTACATCCAATAGACAAACATAACGCTTAAGCGAATGATAGAAAATAATTAATATAACTATTATAAATTGATCATCATCATCATAGGTGGACCACTTTTTGTATTTTCCATTGTATCACTGTAATCGTTGCCTACTTCTACTTTTTTATATGGCTAGGCTTCTAATCATACAGTATTAGTATGTAAGGATATTTGCACTATTCATCCAATAATAATGCTTGACAAATTGGAAAAAATTCAAAAATACAATTGGACGTACATAATACAAGATTATACTGTAATCCTCATCTAAGCTGGAATATACGCGTACAGTCTGTATCTGCTTGATTTTGGTACAGGTCTAGATGCAGTAGTTGAATATTCTTTGTCAATTTTTTAACTTAAGATCTTCAAGGCATAATCATACATACGAGTGCAAAATGAATGTCTCAAAGTTTGCTCTACACGAACATCATCTATCTTGTAGATGGAACTTTCTTATCTCAATATTTCATAACAACGCGTACTTTGGAAAAGGCTATAGAATCGTAAAATACATCTGCGTACATGACACAAAGGATAAAAACGAAACATTTTTTTTATCCTATCTTTTGATAATCCTATAGAACATAGATGCAGCACTCAGCGCTTATGCCTTGACTTTACCAACATATTAAATACGATAATGACGGATTGATTGGATACACTATCCTAGTACTGTAAGCATGGATACAATTTGCTTGGATGATGGATGAATAGCCTGTTGACATATAAAATGAGCAATGCTTTCCAGTAAAGTAATACATTATCAGATTGAAGCAGTAAATCGATCTATGCCTCCCCCCAAAAAAAAAAAAAATGAAAAGTAATAGGATAGCAGTTTAGACTAGATAAATATGTTATTAACAACTTTTTTATAATATTCAATTCCAAGTGCGCTTATGTCATGACTATTTACTGTACTGAATAGTTTACTTCAAATGTAAATTTTTTAAAGTAAGACAGCGATAAATTTATTTCATGATCGATAGTTGCAATCTTATAGACAATTTGATTCCATTTTCTCTATACATTCTTGCCATGAATGCCAACGGGATGCTTGTATTAATAGTCACACAATGCAGTCAATACTGTAAAAATGTTATACCTGTCACTATACTGACCATCTGTGCTAAATAATGATTCAATATAAAAATTGCTATGAGTATAGAAGATTATTATCATCAAGTTGAATATTGTAACACTAGCAATACAGTATATTCAATCTTAGATTTTACCATATATCATTTTCGATGTAAAATTTCCGTAAGAGTATACATTTTAAACAGATTATATTATAATCAATATTGGCATAATTCCACTTTTGTACTACAATGACATTTTTTCATATGGCATTGATCTATCCAACAATTTGACTCACTCAAAGATATGCCAATTTTTCAAGTTAGCATGTAGAATACTGTAGTGATAAGAAATTACCTAGGCGCAACATTAAATCAAAGTAATCTTATCTCTCTATCGTAAAGAATTTTTAATTGATGAAAAATGGGATTAAATTCTTTCTGTATCACTGTTTATTAAAAGTAATAAGATGATCCTTAAATATACACTACATCCGTTCATAGACGCATAGAGACATTTATCTAACGGATTATTTACTATTCAAAGAATATCCAAGTTTTAGCAATATAACCGTAGAGATTTGTTATAGTTTTCCATTTGCAAGTTAAAACCAATCACTAAAGTAAATTTCATGATATCAATTCTATTCAGTAATTGCTAATTGATCGACATTTTTTTATTCAACTTTTGGCGATTATAATCTATATTCCTTGCAAATAATACTTATAAACTTTGCGTACGCTACTTTTTATGTCGATTATGCAAAAGTGTTAAAAAATACTCTTATGCAGGATATCGTAGCGTGGATTATTAATTATATTTATGATAGCACCATAGGTAAAAACTCTTTTATCATGCAGATAGAGAATTATTATTATTCATAACCGAATTACAACTGAAAAAATACTGCTTTTATTCATCCAATGATATCGAACATTCATTCTGTGTTTCAGTACTATCCGCTCGAATAATGATAGCAGAAACTTTCTTCTCACGTATTTTAATGATATCCAATGAAATAGATGAGACGCATTTTTATTATACGTATATATATATACTTGTATACCATGTAGCAGTATCCTATTTTAGTTACTGTTAGACAGTGATTTTGTATTACCGTCTACTGTACAGTACTGTAGGCTTTGTCTTTTTTTAATTATAATTAGGGCGGCCTTCAAAACTGAAAGGGTGTAATAATAAATAATTTAACTAAATCTTCAACAATAACTAACAGACTACGCTTTTAACCATAACCCTATTTCATTCAACCTTTCCAATCTTTCAATTTAACTTTCTTGATACTATTGTATGCAATTTATATAGTTGATATTTATTAACAGTATCCTGGATATTTGTAGCTATTTTATCTGAACAAAAGTAAATGTAATAAATGTGTACAATTCTAACATATAACGGGTTAGTACAGAAAAATAAGTACGAGGCAAAGAAAGTTAATCATTCAAGACTACATATGTTATTATAAAGAGTTAGCAGTACATTTTATACAATCATGACTTCTTCACTTAACCTCAGCTATCTATTAGACTATTTTATATATCTTTTATACATACGTATATCACAAATAAACAAACAAACAATTCTTTTATATTACTCGTATTATTACTCAACATCTCATTATTATCGATACCAACAGATAAAAGTTTTAAATTCTAACCAAAAAAGGCAATAGAAATGGTAGTCTAGTATTGCTCAGTATTGTCTGATTAATTTAATGACGTTAAAGTCTTGTCCTTTATCCATGATTGTTTAATTTCATCGGGAGTGACTGCTAATTACCAAAAAAAATTTTCTTTAAATACTCAAACCCCGATAAAAGTTTAAAATAAACCCTTGTTATGCAATAGACAATATCAATCTTGATTTATTTCGTTTTTATGACACTGGATAGTTTAATTTTTATAGGGAAAAATTTGTAATATTTGTATAATGTATATGATGTACAGTTTGAGATATATCAACTACAGTTAATAATTATAATCAAGAAGAGTTTAAGCGAAGAGATTTCTATTACTTAAACACGCGGATATCAGAATACGCGTACATCCAGTGATGTAGTATAATTAGTTGCATTAATTGACAAAATTAATTAGAACTTTACTTACCTTCGTTCCTTAATAATAGGTGTCATCAAGCGTTCAATTATTGTAGGAAAAAAATCGAGGATCATGCATCCTTCCCATCATCGTCATTTAGCAGTTACTGTAACTACTGTACCTCCAGGTGTACCAATTGGAACGCAAGTCACGTCACATCCTACAAATATCGGTCATGTTCCCACAAACACTGGCCAAGTTGGATCATCACATGGGATGGATGTTAACAAATTACCTGATGACGTAGATGGTCGTCGTCCGGACGTTTCTGAATTATTACAACAAATAATGTCAATAAATGAACAATCATTGGATGAAGCACAAGCACGGTAGTAATCTAATCTAATATTACAGCTTTCGCTCTGTTCAACTAAACTTACCTAGATTGAGTTATAGTTTTAACTAAGAATAATATGTTGCAAGGATCAATATTTCAACTAATCTAATATGTAATTGGCGCCTGTTCAATATAGCATTATTATTATTTATACTGTAGAACACTTCCTTATCTTCTTTATGTATCAATATTAAGATTTATTTTTATTCTCCATAAATTTTAGTAAGCATGCTCTAAATTCACATCGCCTAAAGCCTACTCTGTACGGCGTTCTATATGAAATTAAGGAAAAGACAGGTATTATTTAATAAACGATCAATACAAACCTATGAATAAGAATAGAAGTAATGGTTATATCTGTTAGACTATAAATTAATCACTCTTTTTTTTTCTTTTAATTTAACACATAAACTCGGAATACTTCACTGTGGTCTATGTGATATGTATGTACAGTGCTAAATATTCGAACACCTTCCGAGGAAGATCCTCCCGATCAACAATTAACGCGATTAGATAATATGTTGATTTCTGAAGGAATAATTGGGCCCGATAAAGGTGCTTCTGCTGCTGCTGCTGCTGCTGCTACTGCTAGTGCTTCTGTTCATGGCGAAAGCCAAATTGATCATTCTGATTATCATGCAAAATTAAATCAAATTCGTCAAATCTACCATTCTGAATTGGAAAAATATGAACAGGTAACATGAGCTATCAACAAACAAGTAAAAAACTTATTATTGACTTTATATCGACTTTAATTCATTAGGCTTGTAATGAATTTACCACACACGTAAAAAATTTATTAAGCGAACAATCCAGAACGAGACCGATTACCCCTAAAGAGATGGACCGGATGGTCAGTATAATCCATCGTAAATTTAGTGCAATTCAAGTTCAACTGAAACAAAGTACATGCGAAGCACTTATGATCTTAAGATCACGCTACTTAGATGCGAGGTATACGACATTGCTTTATCGAACAATACAATGATTATTATTGTACTTTCGGATGATGTTGAAAACGCCCAGTAATTATAGGATATTTTTCTTACAGAAGGAAAAGACGTAACTTTAGTAAACAAGCCACTGAAATTCTAAACGAGTATTTTTACTCACACTTAAGTAACCCTTATCCCAGCGAAGAGATCAAGGAAGAATTAGCTAGAAAGTGTGATATTACCATTTCTCAGGTAAGAATTTCGAAAACCTTTCATTATTTGTATACTCTAAAGTACACTAGTCAATCTTATATATCTTCGTATGTTAGGGATCGATAAATTTTTACTCTAAACGGTGCTACTTTCATTAATTTCAATTTGTTTAGATTTCTAATTGGTTTGGTAATAAAAGAATTCGGTATAAAAAGAATATTGGAAAAGCTCAAGAGGAGGCAAGCATGTACGCTATTAAAGCAGCGCAAACATCCAGAAATCAACATGAGAGCGGCTCAGGTTTAGAAAGTTGATCATAGTATTGCTTTGTACAATTATTTACTAAATCTACATATTATATAATCTAATAAAAGTATACTTTTACGCTAGGTACAGAAGGCAATTTAGGATTAACTCAAGCGTCTACGTCGACATCAGGAAGTTTGTCACATTCGCACCATCCACAAGTGCAACCATCGATTCGTAACCAATCGCAGCAAGGAATGCTTGTTGACCAACAACAACCTGATATATATTTGGGTCCCATACCCTTGAGCACTAGTAATAGTGGTTCATCAAGTGGCAATGTATCAGTTAGCAGTCATTTTCAGGTATTCATTGCTTCGTTGTCGGTGCAGTAATAATAAAACTCACTAATTACATTGTTCTATCATCATTCAACGCTAACTGAAATAGCTAGTTTCGCTTCGTTTATTAGAAACTACTGTAAGAGCTTAAGCAGCAGTTCAGAGAGTTTTACATTTTTGATAGAAACTGCAATATTATTTAAATTCAAATCTTTAGGTTTCTGGGTTATCGCACCCAATGTCTCAAGCAGGCGGTTATGCCCAACCTGACCAATGCGCTATTCCGGTTTCATCTCAACAGCCAGGATTCCACGATGGTCATACAATACACCAAGTTGGTGATTATGATTTAGAATTCATTTCCTCATCAATTCCTAACCTTTAACATTATCCTCATTTATTATTTTTATAGCTGAAGTAAATGTACAGTGAATGGCCTTACAACATAATTTTGATTCCGTCGACGTTCATGAATAAGAAAATCTCCGATTATTTTTATGAAATAATATTCATGTCGTTCATTGAGACTGTCAAGCAGTTGATATCATTTATTTACTCATGTATGCCTTAAATTGGTGAGGAGTCACCTCATGTTTTCATTATCGTCTGTACAACAGCAAGTACCGGCTTTTTTACCACAGTAATATTAACTACTAACGATTATTTTGGTGATGAGCTATTTTTGCTCAATTACTGCAAAATGGTATTGTATACAAATGAAATCCATTTTTAAGGCTCTGAATCGCTATTATTGGACTACATTTTAAGTGCTATACAAATGTATTATCGATACCCTATTATTATTTGTACAAAATAAGCAATCACTTAATTTGTTTGCTTGAGTTAAGAAAGAGTTTTTAAAGCGTTAAAAGGTGAATACCTGTATCACAATTTACAACTAATTTAATTTAAGTTAAATTTAATGTATATGACGGTGTATTATTACATAGAATAATACGAAAAAGAACATCTGTTTAGAAATATCCTATATGTTACACTACAAATCTATTTGTATGCTATAAATGATATATTAATGTTGTATGAACGACTATAACCCCTAGAGCCCTGACCAAGATTAAACACAATATATTGTAATATTATAATCGTAAATTTTTTATACTCAAACATTCGAGTCAGGCAAATAGCTCCTAATGCTATAATAGTAGATATCTTATGTCGAATTCATGACACTTGTTCATAAATATAACCACTTTCTACTGACGCATGTTGTACTATCACATTACAGTTTTTTATATGACATGCGACTTTAACCGAAAAATCTTTAAATTATAGATTGAGCATATATCCTTAATGCAAAAATTTTATCCTTTTGTGATTGTTTCTCATTAAACTCAGTTACAAATGAAATAAACATTGATATAAATTTATACTCTTTTAACTTTGCCAATTTTATTAAATTAAATTTATTCACATAGAAACTACAGTCTTGTGCCTGATGTCGGAATACGAGTTCGCAAAGCTAGTAGCATTGATATACAATTGACGATAGTTCTTAATGATGTGATTAAAGATGAAAATACATCAAACAAAATAGGTTTAAGCAATACTACGTTGTATCTGTAAGTTTATTTAAGCTATAGTATTGAGTACAATCTGGCAACCCATGAACATCACGAATAGGAGAACAAAGATCGCTATTTTCTTTTTAAGTTGACAATTGTATTTCGTTAGATTTAAATAGTTATGACGTACAAGGTTTAAAGATTTCACGCTGTACGGTAAATTATAGTGATAAAATGATTCATTCTTAAATTGCTCATGACAATTTTTTTCGTACGTCTAGCGTTGCGAAATTTGTTATATAATCTCAATTTATTAACAGTGTTATTAATACCATATTCAATTATTTATTCGAAGAGGATAGCTATTAGTGCCTTAATCAGCTATAAGTCATCATTTACAACACTGACGGAGCAGATTGAAACCAGCTAAAACGGTCAGTTGCTAGAGCTGAAGGTATATTTAACTTGACGAAGGTCATATTTGAAATCTCGCAATCGATTTTCACCATTGTTGTCATGTAAGTTTCTAATTCAATCAAAAAATAACGTTCAGTTAAAAATCAATGCCAATTTTTCAGATTATATTGTTTTTACTGTGTAGTATTTATACATGTACACATAATAAGTAACTCCTTCAGCGTTCAAGATGCACTGACCATTAAAAGCTGGCATAATTAGAGACAGCCGTTGCTTTTGATTCTTGTTACCAGTTGTAGGTGGATATAAATATAAATCTTTCTTAAATGTTACGACATAAAACGTATCGACACTCTGATTGAACATTTTGGAGACGTAATCGCGTGCACTAGAAAAAATACAGAGTTAGAAATTTCTATTACCGACCAATTAAAAAAGTCAATAATAATGCAATGGACTAGTTTCTCTTAATATCTCGTTTTGTAAATTAAACATACATACAGCTTACATACGTATCATGCAAATTATAGCTATAAACAAACGAATTCACTTAAGCTACCTGCTGAAAACGTCACTATAATATGGTACAATCTGGTTGTTATCAACTTCAGACTCTTTTCTGTAAGATACAAATATCGTTAGAGAAATTAATAAATTTCACCGATCTATTGCCTTATTATATGAAAGAAAGAAAATACATGGAATGACGAAAAATATGTTAACAAATTTAATATCATATTACCTAGGAATGGCATTATCAGGCTTAATAGCAAGCTCGTTCGATCCAAGCTTCTATAAGATAAAAATTAGTTATTTAGTCGATTACTTAAATCTTCTAAAAGGGCATAAAAATACAAACATAATACCTGAAAAGCCTCTTTATCTTGTAATACAGAATTCTTACGAATGAAATTATATTCTACCTTCTGTCGTTGATGCCATTTTAAAAGCGTGCGCGAAATTCTAATAGTAAAAACACAACATTACTATATTAAATACATACTGTGTTAGCTAGTGCTGTTAATATTGCGCAAGATCCTGTTGAGAGATCAACATCTTGTTCTGTTACCGTTGTGTTTCGGTCTTATTTAGCACAGGCGAACAGCCAGTGGATGATGATTCAAACTCTTTGTATGACTTGCTATGCTCTAGTGGTAGTGATGGCCTACCAATAATTATGTCAGGTTGTTCTCCTTTATGAGACAGCAGAGCACGTCCATGTAAAACTGAAATACTATCATCACCAGGTATTTGATCGATAACGGTATTACTACTAGAATTTATCAAATCCAATATAAAAGTTGCGATGTTAATTTAATGTAAAACATCAATGTCCCGTAAATTAGTTAGTAATATGAAGTCATAATAATACCTTGTAAGATTCAGAACGGTTACATTAAATCCAACAAACAAAAGAACCATAAAGAGTACAACATGAGATTTGTTAGAAGAAAATTTAGTATTGGATTCTACAGATTCCTGATGTTGTCTGAGTGCAACGTTCTAAAATTTGAAAAAAATTGATAATAACTTAAGATTTGCTGAAAATTGAAGAACATCGTTAGAGTAAACACTCTTAAAAATAAAAAGCATGATATGAATATTGATCATTTATGTATTTAATTAAAAGTCTAATAAAATTAAACATCATCCAAATTTAAACTCACTTCTTGTTCTAACTGTTGAATTTTTAACTTTAGAGACTCATTCTCTGATTTTAAACGATTACATAAAGCTGCTTGCTGATTAAGCTCGGTCTCCAAACTTTGTAAATACTATATATTTGATTACAAATTATTAAAAGAGATATATATAAATTTTCTTGATGTTTGTTTAGGAAATCAATCAAAAATTATATTTTTGCAATTTTCTCACCTCCTTCTTCTTCTTTCTCGATAAACAAGCAGATTCACGATTCTTAATTTTCCTTTGTAACTTTTTATATGCCTTCAACTGTAATAAAGAATGATAAGTAAATTATGTGGATAATAAGAGTAATAACAACACTTTATTGCCTTATAAAAAGATATAATCTTGATACGGTTATGTAAAAAATTAGCGCAGACTCTAAATCGAACCTCGACTGTTGAAAATTTAGTCGTATCGACAGCTGGCAATGGCTTATTAACAATCTCTTCCTCTAAGGACTATGTAAGAGAGTAAAAGACATAAATAATTAGATCTAATACGATAAAGGTAATACAATTAACTTGCTATATATTAGTAAAATTATTAAAAGTGGTAAACACACTCACCGTAAATGAAGTCCCGCTTCGACCATGAGCTAAAGGTATCTTTCGCACCGAGGATACGAGCGGTACTTTGTTATAGTTTGCATGAGAATTAGGACTAATATCTAAAATTTTAATTTTAAAAATTGCATAAGTGAGAAAAAGCCAACGAATACCCGAATATTATTGATAAATTATTGTACGTATGATTCATAATTGCTGAGGTTCTTCTACTACAGCTATTACCGACAATTTATTAAGAAATTTGATAATAATATACCGGTACCTGTCTGTTGGACATCCTTTGGAATATACTGATTTTGTGGTGGAGTTATTGGTGGTGATTCTATTTTTATTGATGATTCACTATTTGGCGATGGGGCCACGGATGCATTAGAGACCTGGTATTAATGCAACAATTATGTCGGTGATATTAGTACTATTCGTAACACCACTTACATCAGTTAATTAACGTTGAAAACTTAATTTACTACTGTCCATAAAACTGTATAATTTCAAACTTCTAGATTGAATACACGCGTATACTTATATATATGGTAAACAGCGCACTGCATATCAATTTATAAAGCACGAGGACTAGCTGCTATATCAAAAATAACAGTACTATATGATACGAATCATATGATCCTCAATTTAAAGAAATTCGAAAACAAAATCGAATGATAACGTACCTGATAAGAAGATGAACTGCCAAGAGAATTCGAAGGCGAAAGAGGCTCAGATTTAAGATAAACTAGGTAATAAAAACATCAAAAAAAATGGTTATTTAGCCGCTAAAAATCTAACCCTCAATTTTTTTCAATGTTGTAAATAAAGCTGCAACATAAACCTACTTTTGACCACATTCAATAGTAACAAATGTAGTACTATATACGTACAATAGGGACTACCACTTACTAAAGCTTGGTTTCTAGTAGAACATTGGAGTAATCTTTTCAGTTGATAAGTGTACAGTACTTACTATCACCCTGTAGCGGTTACATACTATACTAAATCTTCAAGAAAATTAACATAACAAAGAACAGCCTACGGGCTCTGTCTCTCGTAACAATCAAACTCGCTATTCTTTTTCAATGTATCATTTCATTTACTATTAAAGTACAAATACTGTTTCTATATTTCATTTAACATTACTAAAAAGTCAATTCTGATATAAATTAAATAACATACCACCACTATCGTGACTATTTTCTGGCGATTCGCAGTTATCAACAAGCCATTCGTCAATGTAAGAATCGTCAAATTCTAATGATTTGCCCCAATTCGAATCCTTCAGAAGAAAGAAATTAGATATTTTTGTTTAATCAATGTTTATATAAAAAACTAAGAGCTTTTTATTATAAATACAGACGCTGCAATACAAAAGAATTCGTAACAAAATCTGTAGATGGCTTTCTTTTCTTAAGGGAAATGTACAACATATGCATTACCGTAAATGCGATAAAGACAACAACAAAAATAATACGTGAGAGTTTCATTGTGTAGAGAAATATCACTCTAGTTCGCCGTTAGACAGGTGTTTCTGTCGATACTAGATCATAATGTATGTTAATTGCTGGGTTAATGTTTTTGAGTTTAACACACAAGTACAAAACTTGTTATTGGAGATTCTTCACTATACATACGCATTTTAATTATTAATTCAAAAATATTTTCAGGCAGTGCAATACATGCAGATGAGGTAGACCAGTTTGACACATACGACGTGATTTCCATTATTGTTTTCAACAGGAAAAGAAGCATTGTTAACTGACGACTGTATCTTCATGCAGTGTAACGTACTACCCAAGCAGATTCAGTATATTAATTATTTTAATTCTAAAAATAGCGATTTAAGTATGATACTAAGATACTGTATTAATAATCCATTGCTGTATTTGATACATAATTAATTGTAAAATTCTCAGATTCAAAGATAATATGTGCACTAGATATTATCTACAGTACATGCTACCCAGATCATAAATTCGATAACTAGTAAGGTCAAACATATTGAATAGGCATATAATTCTATAATCAATACGGTTGTCAAGTTTTAATAATAAAGGCTAACGGCAAAGCGAAAAGGACAAATGTTTGCTATCAGGAAATACAGTGGATATGTGTAACATCACGTATTCAGACGACCTACAGCTCAAGTAAAACAATTTCCATCAAAGTACCGTAATACTAAAATGCACGCAGCATTGTGCGCTATGAACAGTACATTAGGCATTATCTTCCTCCATATGCGGTCTACAAAGTACTACAACTATTGTCTACTTGTAATTAACATAGTCCCTTTCAACGAAAAACACTAATACGGAGGTGTGAGTACGGTAGCAAAAGTATCCGCTGATCAGATGCGTACGTAGTAATAACAACAAAAAACAGATAACAATCTATAGTGTGTCCGTTACAAATCTTCAGCTGGCGAAGATGATAACTGCCCTAGGTGCCTACTATATCTTTATTGAAAAAGAAAGACAATATTTACCGGTACTCGAGGTAGTTGATCGACAAGTTTGTCCAGCATGGTGTCCAATTCGCCATTTTCTAGGTCAAATTGTTGACAGTCCATGTCTAAAAGTCGAAGGAGGATATTAAATAACAAGCTAACATTAGAATCATTTACAATTTACAGATTGCAGTTCAAGATGCAATTGTAGCTTTAATCAATTTGGTATTTTATAAAGTCATATCGTATAAATGTTATTGTCGGTCCAAATATGCATTGATAAATTTACTCAGCGTCATTCTCATATACAAGTACTGTATTACAATCATGTTCTACAATAAGGGAAAAATTAGAGGGCAATTAAAAAGTATAAACTGGCTATGTAGTGGCGAAGCTTTATGTGTAAAATTTACCAAGATTACAGATAATACTAACGATATCGGCATGAGTGTAAGCACGAGTAATTAGAAAGATCTTGGCTGTCGATGAGTTTGTGTACAGACAAGTGACATTATACGTATATCAACAAGTTCACAGTCTCGTCTACATCGATAGTGCAGTATACGTTTGTTATTACTACAACTTTAAAATTTCTCCATCCTTGATAACCTCTACTTCATCAGTTTCAGAATAGTACTATAGTTTGTAATTATTTAGCATTGATTGAAGGCGAACTAAGTCACAATGATGAGAAATTCTTTCAATTGCCTAATATTTTTCATCTACATGGTAACGCCGATTGCTTGATGGGCGACTGGTTTGTCACCGTAGTAACAGGTAGTCTACCTGCTCAAATAGCCACGCGCTACCTTACACAGAGTATTGACCTCTTGCACTAACAATGTTGTATACCGCCCAACAACTACTACAGTACTATAGTACAGTACAGTACAAGGAAGTGCTGACATAATACGAAATCATGCACGGATATTAAAGAGATGAAGATTAATTACTTTCTATACCATTACTGTTCTAACTATAGACTACTGTATCCTAGAATACGTCTGACATGAAATTATCAGTAAGAATACGAAAATTATTTTGAGAAAACTTATATACTGTACTGCTATTACCAACAATTAATTAAATTTTCTATTTTCAAATATTTCTGTTCTACATTTACTGTACTTGTGTTAATTTTGACTGTGTAATACTGTAAATACAGTATAGGATATAGGTATATTATACCACTGTTGATCATCAAGAAATAGAATAAAAATCAATGAGATTTTTATACAATTTTTGACTCGATATTAATGTACTGTATCTGTTGTACGACATCGCTATCGAAATCGACATTGGTAATAATATAAAAAAAAATTATAAACTCTTATCCAGTCTTCTATACTGTACAACGCTACAGTAAAGCGAAAGATAAGCGTCCTTTTCTGTTGTACTGTAATGCCATCAGCAATTTTATCCGTACTTAGAATTCATTATTCTTTAACCCTTTAACCTAACAGGTTTACTAGGATTATAAGTCTATTTCTCTATACTGTAGTATCAGAAACGGTCTTTCATCATGATAACGAGTGGTGTTGGAAATGAGAAGTCAAAGAAGTAATTTTAAATTGGAAAGGCAATGATCCTTATTCAGTAACTTGCGTGAGTGACTCTTGTACGCCGTCCACATACTGTACGCGTACTGTACACTCTAGTGTACAGTGTACAGCAGTCTATGATCGCTCATTCTCATTGAAAAATAGAATCATTTTTGAAAGAATACTTTTACTAGTTTCCTTACCCCAATCTGCGGTATTGAAGCCATCTGCTTGATTATAGTGGGGATCCAATTCGTCGTGTAAACCCTGATCCATGATTTAATTCGACTTTGGGATTTGGGGAATTAATTTCAACTTCTACGGTCCAGTACGACTGCTTCCTTCTCTATTGCCCTTTCTTTGGAAATTCTCTTTGCGTCAAAGACCCCTAAAATGAGAATCCTTTTATAACAATGCATTAGAGCTACAGTACTGTACTGTACATGTACTGTACTGTATACTGTACTGTACTGTAGTAGCGTTCTGTGACGTTTGTTCCCCATAATACAGTACAGTGTATGTACTGTAGGCAGGGCAATACATACTGTATCAAATTGTTTGTCATGTCACTGTGCTTTACAGTGTACAGTGTACAGTATAGTGCAGCATACAGTACTATACACTGTGCTGCAGACACTACCATTGCATCATTCATCCACGGAGTCCACTCACTCTCTTTTCTTCAGCAGTCCTACAGAGATTTGGTCCATCTCTTTCATGTTAATTCATTTACGTTATTGTTGCCCACAAGTTTAAACAGCAAACGTCAACACGACTGAATGCCTTTGATTATCCATGTTGAAGGTATCCAGTTAACGAGACTTTATGAAATGGGGAACTACTCTAGTAGCACGAGAATAGCACGATACGAGCTACCTCATTGCAGTCCTATCCTGCAGATTCTGTAGTATAAAACGCAATTTCCAATGTGAATGTAAAATGCTGCAAGTGAGGCTTGTCCTCTTGCATATTTGCCTACAGCATGACTTCAAACTGACCATCATCTATTTCTAGGGGAACATATCAACTGGAAGCGATCTACAACTACAGTATAAGAGGCTAGATTTTATTCATTTAAAAATCAACTAATCCATTTTTACTATCGCTACGTAAACATCAATTAATCAATACTTCCAATTTATTTCACCAATAAGTTATATGTACGTCTTAATAGGAACGATGGACATAAAAGTCATTTCCTTGCATATTGTACAGGCTATATTTGAATTCTTATATAAAAGTGGATTTAATTAATTCAATCTTGAGGAAATAATCGAGTACGGTAAAACTTGAGTCACGTACTTAGGTTACTATATTAAGAGTACCAGGAACTAAATTAGAACCCGGAATGATTAGTACGCCGGCCCAGGTGTACATCAGCAAGTAGTTCATTCATTTTCTGCCACATTTACAGTTACAGCAGATCATTGTACAGAGACCTTCAAGTTTACAAAGTTACAAAAGACCTCGATCGAAAATCGCCCCTAGCTCAATACCAAATTGTTAGCAATCGCCATTAATTAACGGTTATCTACTGTAGACTGGTTATGCTGCAATCCAATGATTGTTCAAATACAACCAAGTTTTTCTGATTGATAACATTAATGCTAAATTATAGAAGTAAATACTACAGTCTTTCAATCCATACTATCTTCAAGTCGTACCGTAGGACTAACTCTATAAGTCCACATCCACACCAATACATGTACACTTGTACAGTACACAACAATGTAGCGAATAATAATCGAATTCGTTGAAGCCTTCAAAATGCTCAACGGTATTACGCGTACTACATGTCGAAATGATTGGATCTTTTTAAGCAAACTGCTACGGCAGGCTGATATTGTATACGTCGTAGCGCAGTGATAACGTATGATATTGATGGCATAACGGATGCAATAGGTATCCTATGGCTGTATAGCTTACATCGTAACAGACTGTTCATGCTCAATCATGACTTTTGCGTTCACAAATCGAATCCTTAACTCTTAAAGAATTTGTAAATAACTATTCTTTTCGACATTTTGAAAGCATATATAATTGATATACTCACAGTATGCTAGACGGTATACAAAATATTCGTATATTACGTTATGCACATATTAGTATCAATTGAAAATTGCAATATCAAATTTGCGATGTTGTACTTTTATATTTTTGTAAACTATAACTTATAATAGTAGTCTGGAGTAGCTAAATCATATTAATCAAATGTAATAATGTATCGAAAAATGACAAAGACATAACAATAATTAATTAAAAGTAGGATTGTTATCGATCGATACAATATTACGTTACTTCTTAAGCATAAGTTTCCCTATTAGTCATCACACCTTTATTGCTTATAAGCATAAACAACTCTGCAGTGCCTTAGTACGGTGACTAATAATCATCGCGCGTTACATGTCCGCTTATAAAACCTCCATTTGCTACAATACAGCATATAGGTATGCAAGCACCTGTCATGAGTATTTACAATTTAAACTCTGCATCTAAGTTAGAGCTGCTTTGTATATTACATGTCCTATATACGCTATTGTACCATTGAACACTTAACTTGTAAAAAAAATTTCCATGCAATTTTGAAAACAACATTTAAATAGGCCCATAAAATAGTCTGAGCTAAATTAGATTATAAATCGACACTTGTGCAATCTCGTATACTGCACAATAGCAATTATTCCTTTATCAAGATAATTTTCTATAAAATAAAGTACGGAAAAACTTCTATTTTGTGGCAAAGGTTCATACAGTATATAAAAGTACAAATTCCGCCTTCCATAAATTCAAACAAGTAGATGCTACTCGGCTTATACAAGGCATGATATAAAAGTAGCAGTTGTATCAAAAATATTTCCATTATTGCTATTCCCATTATAAAAGGCGACCAATAGTGTAGTAGAAAGCTGATAGCCAAGAAATTAGTATGCAAATTCTTCCTATTTACAAGAAATCCACATAGAATTATCCTTGCAGTGCAAACACGTAAATACTAACAACTTTTAGGAAGCAATATAACATATACAAACTTCAGTCTTAAAAATATCATAACGAAAGTTTTGACGAAATAAGGTACATCAGCTCATAGATTATAACAATAAATATTGTGCATCATAAATTTCTTATTGCGACATTTTTTTACTACTTTTACATTATACTACAGTCTACATTACTAGGTATCAACTGATTAGTGTCTCTATTTACCTCCGTGTGCTAACTTGTCTGACGATTTCATTTACGTCTTTAAGTACATATCGCTACTGGACTTAATTTAAATAAATATTACAAGTTCTCAGATTCCTCATTGGGAACATAATAATTTTATAGGTAGCAACATAAACATTACCCGCATTTAATGTGACTGCATTTAAATAGCTAAGTAAACAAATATTTCATCGATGATGTTATAACGTACGTTAAAGCGTGATACTATTTGAGTAGATACGATTATATTTACAATAGATATAATCTTCTGTACACCCAGGGAGTGTAAGATTCGATTCATCGCAATCCGTCACCTTTACTTTACTCATGAAAGATTACGATGGTATAACTTGAGAATATATGTTGTTGATCACCTTAAATCGATATTATGATCAATTTCAGGCTACATTTATCATTAAAAATTAAAAGGTTAATAGTATTAACTATCTTTCCTAAATGGAAGAAAATTGATATGATCTGATAAAACTGGACTGTAACTAATCATTCATTTTTCGTATAAAATTCTCTATCTCGTATATATACAGTAAGTCATCCTGACAATACGACATAACTAAATTTAAGGGTGGTGCTCAAGAAAAGAACCGTAGTAATAAGAAAGCTAAAAATATGAAGTAATCACATTTGAAATTCGATAATCGTTATCTTAAGAAACATAGTGGAAAGGTTTGCAGATTATAGTTAATTAAGGAAGGATCCCTAATCCGCTGATTTAATACGACGTATTACTCTACTTTTGATCAGGTGTTGAATCAAATGATAGCTTATACCAAGGATGTAAGTAAAAAAGGCAATATGTTAACAATATGTGAGCTATTCATAATAAGAATTAACAATACCCAATGGAAATCATATCCATATACCAATTCATACATTTGTTACAAATACCAGATTCCAAACAACTTTTCTAACTCAAAATTCCCTAAAGAATCTAGGTAAAAATTATCAAATGATAGACGAAAAGTATGACTACTCGATATCAAACTGAGTTTCCTATCTTCTTCAATCTACTTGTACTCGAAGAATCTAATTTTTACGCAATCTAGAATTTACTTAAATAATACCGTATATCTTTGTATAGCATTTTATGATGCCATCAGCTTTAAAAACTATAGTACCTTTGAACTACCACAACTTTATACGTAATTTCCTATAAAATTTTATCTATAGTATGGAATAGAATGAAGAGAATAAAGCTTTTGTATATTTGCACAAATATTGTTTTTCATTAAAGCATGACCACTGCTATTGTAACAAACAACATCATTATTCGATACGACGAACATCGTATGACATAAGTAAACTAGGAAATTTCAATACGATTTAAATGAACAGTTGTTTTAAGCTAACGCTAATAAAATCATGAGAACAATCAAATTATTAAAACATATGAAAAAATCACTAGTTTAATAGCTTACAGTACTAGTCTTACTAATGCCTACAAATCATGTAAATGACGACTTCAAACCTGATTGACGTCAGCCAAACATAGTATAGTAATAATATATTTAAAATTCAAGATAACGCTATTCTATGAAATAATATAAAGCATATGCTAACGTGATGTTGATAATAACAAAAAATAATGATACAATCAATTTAGTTATTAAGGCCAACATGTCAATAATCGATTAATTATTCGTAGTATTCTTGATATAAGGTAATAAAACAATAGCAATACTTATAACAGTCAAATGATACCTAAATCACCAAGGCTGCTGGATTATAAATAGTGGAACTTCAATCTGAAAATTATCATTAATATTTTTCAGAAGAAGACGATCTTGGTCAAGAGTTAATCTTTTAGCAACGATATTAACTACATTATCGATCATACATTATAGAAAAGTCAGACAACATATACTGATGCTGTAATGATCAATTTCTCTGGTGGTAAATAGCGTAAAATTAAATTCATTTTGGTTCTTTCCATTCTAAAAACGATTGACGTTATTAATACTATTCATAAAATTTATCAATACAAGAATTAGTATAATCCTGATTCTTATTTCACTGGTATATCTTAAGTCATTTTCCTATTGATTATCTTCTGTATCTATTTGCTATACCATTTACTTATATCAAAACTTTTACCGCTGGAAATGATAAAATAATTTTATACAGTAATCTTGCTTACTATTTATTTACATGATCATATCACCTACTTGTCCTAACCTAATCGGCTATATCATTTCATCGGTCTTGTCATTTCACATCGTATTGCACTGTCTTTTGACAACTTTAAACTTTTTATTGTAGATTCATTTGTTTTATAACCTTTTATACTTCTTTTAAAAGTATCAGCATGAAGATATCTGTGGCAACTCAAATTTTTCTTGAGTTATCTCCAACGAATATCAATATTATTATCATTCTATTATCAATTATTTTTGTAGTCGGTCTTATCATGAATTTATTAGTTTTATTTTTTTATGCTACAACTCCTAATATGAGATCTATTAATAATTACTTCCATATGAATGTTATGCTAGCTAATTTGTTATGTCTTTGCTATAATATCCCTGTCCAAATAAGTTATTATTTATCATATAAACAAAATCAAAACGTTCATATGGGCATATCAGTTTGTAAGTTATTCCTAGCTTTGATGATCATTCATAGCACAGTTATTGGATATACAATTGTAGCTGTAAGCTATCATCGCTATACTACTGTAAAGAATAGCTTACAAAAGACATTTACTGAAAAAAGAGCGGCTATAATTATTGCAATGATTTGGTTATTTGCGTGTTTACTTGCTGTACCTGAGTTAATTTTTACTAATACTGTCACTATTTCAAGCAACCTAACAATATGCACACAAGCATTTCCATCCGATACCTCAAAGATAGTATCTTATATTTCCATCAATATGCTCAGTTTTGTATTACCACTGGTTTGGATAGTGTTTACAAATTTATTAATGGGCTACAAGGTACAAAAGAAATTTAACAAAATTCGAATGATGAAAGGTGGGTTAGCGTCATCGTTATCGAAAAGCAGCTCATTTAACATTGGCCAAACACCAGTTAAAGTATTTAGTCCAGTACAATTTCGATTATTGAAATTAACTACTGCTTTGGCCATAGCTTACGTAATATGTTTTATACCAACAAGGATATACGATATTGTTATAGCATTCATAGTTCCGATCTCTAATGATACTAAGAGAGAATTAGCAGCAATTCACGTAGTTTGTACTTTTCTTTACTATGCTAACGCAGCAATTAATCCTATTCTTTATGCTTCTCTCTGCCATCGTTTTCGAGTCAAGCTATATCAGTTAATATGCTGTTCATAAACACTTCAAGCAAATGTCACTCTTGGCTTGCATAACCGAAAATGTATTCTAAAGTAGGTTCAGTCCAATAATGATTTCTATCTAAACATACCAATGATTTGAATAATGCTACGGAACTTGATATGTAAATACGCTTGTGAAGTTCAGTTATACATACATTACACAAAATGAAATGATAAATAAACAAGTTTTACAATATGCTTTCGTATCCAATTGTCTATCGCTTTAAATCCGATTTCGATTAAATTCTCTAAAACGAGTATGAGGCACAGTAAAATATAAGGCGCGAAGCTGTACCTTAAATCAAAAATCTGCGTCATTATGATATGTCGTAAGACCAAGGTTATTAGACAATGGTGTCTTTCAGTAATAGTCTATTTTTTATATCTAAAACATGATGTATATACATTTTACAAGGTGATGCTTATATGCCTGCTAGCACTTTTAAGATCACTTTAAACAATTTTAACCTCACTAGGAAATAATACAGTATCTTAATGTATATTATTAAAGATATCATTAGTGCTAATAGCGCCTATTGAATGAAGAATGTTTCTTATAGCTATCAGATTTTCTGTCTTTCCTATATGAACTGGACATGTTGTGGTCATCCCGAGAATAGCTGTCTTGCGACCTTTGTTTAAATTTACCAGAGTCTTCTCGGAATACATGACTACAAAGCATTAATGCATGCTGCAATTAGGTAATGGTAAAAACTGGGCAAGAAAATGTGTATAACTACAAGATCGTCACTAACAGTAACGCCTATAAAGACACAGTAACAAAAATGGGTAATATGTAATGAAAAAATATTCATTTACATTGGTCTCCTGAAAGGTCTATCTCTTCCACCAAAACGTAGTTGCCCAGATTCTTTCTTACCGCCGATTCCACCTCCTTGTGTTGAAGTAGATTTAGAAATGTGCTTATACTATTAGGTAAAAATTCTTAAAGTTTCCTTTTAAAACATTGCCTATAACAGTTCTTGATTAGTTATACAATTCATAACATAATTTTATCACTACCTAATCTTCTAGGAATCCATCCTTTTAATTTTCTCTCATATTCATGCTCGACAATTATTTCACTAGAATCTATCATCATCTTATTCGCGTCCTACATGAATGATGAATGATCAACTGATTTCAATTAATCTTTTCTATTTTATGTTTTATACTTATTAATAAATGTAATTCTATGCATTAACAGCTTAAATATTTCGGTAAATTGAAAGTATTTCGATTAGTATTTTCTAGCAGAACTTTAATTAAGATAGAAAGGTATACGCATAGTGTAATATACACACATGAAAAGCCACGTCATAGCTTTTGTCATCGCAAAATTCAATAAAAGCATACCGCCGCGAAATGCCTGTCACTATATAAAGATAGGGAAATGTACAACGTTAGGCATATCTATAGCATTTGCCAAATTTACCGTTATACCCATTTAAAATGTGTAACATTAAACAGTAACATATTCATTACTGCTATACTATAAAACTTGGATCTCTTACCAACATCCCTTACAAGCCGACAACTTTTTATTTTACCATACTTTGAGAAAATTTTCATTAGCGTATCTATTCAACATTTTTGGTTACAGAAGATAGAAAAAAATTAGCATCTAAGTCTGAAACAGCTAATGGGTTACTATTATATATCAGTGTTAGATTTAATGTATTATTTTAGTCTTGTTTTATGTATACGAAAATCATCTTTAATCAATTTAATATGAATGTTCCTTTAATGGATATCTCTTAAACCGTTATTTCATTCATTCTTCATGATAACGATTCATGCAGTGTCATCCAATACCTTACCTTCTGTTGTTTTGGGGTTTAACCTTCCAATAAAGAGTGTTCTGTTTGGATCAGTTGCTACCAAGGTATTGGGTTTATCTAAAGTAGATATACGCAAAATGATGTAAGAGATTCTTTTCGATGTCATTCGATTGTAATACGGATGCTAATAGAGAGCACAACGCATCACATCTCGAATATGTTACTATCAATTCGGTTGATTTCATAGACGATTATATTACAGTGCTAAAGAAGTTAATAATCTGAAAGTTGGATGAAATGCGATACAAACAACATTATGGATAGTATAAAACACATGTCCTGTAGAACAAGTCTGCAGCCTCTTACATCTTGAAGTCATGGCTCGAATAACAGCCCTATCATGGGCCAGAGAGTCAGTTCCATCGATGCTGCCAGCCCGAAGAGGGTCATAACTCCCGCGATGAGAGAATAATGATACCCAGTTATCGAATGTATTATCTTCTGCCATTATATTGTATAAACATACTACTCAAGTTAAGAAGCTAAAACGGATAAAGGTTTTACAACCATTTCAGCCACAATGTCAAGCAAAGAAGCCAAGAAACTTTCCTTATTTGAGATGTTCTTACTTGTTTCTACAGCCAACAGACTAATTGACTAGAAGTTGCTGCTACAGATATGGACTAGTATAGATACAGTAGTGCTGGACCGGACCAGACAGGTCCTCGGACAGTCGGACATATACCCTCATAAGTCATTTAGGTTAAATGGCTGTAATAACTGTTCCAAACACTTGTATTTGTTATAGCCTCAGTATGAAGATGCTCGATTTCGTTTTTAATTGACTTATTTTGAAATGAAATAATTTATGGAAACCTATTCTATTTTATATATATATTTTAATATGTTCTGCTTGAAAGCAAATTGCTGAACGTCATAAATGTTTTGAATTAAGAGTCGGGAAGAAGAAACAGACACAAAACATCCATTTGCTAAAGTTCTATTTTTTACATCTTCCGCTTTACGTGATCTAAAAAAGTCAGATCAAATGAGTGAGTCCATGGTCATCCTACAGCCCCATTATTAGTGGAACAACACCATTCATTCCCTATAAACAGTTATGGCAAAAGTTTCCAATTTGTTACGTAATTTTTGTTACCATTAAAGTCAGATGAGATATAGATTACAAATTTACTTAAAATTATTACATTTTAGGAACTTTGTAAAACGATGTTTTGACCATATGCTTGCCCAGTAAATTGTACTGCAAGTTATAGTGAGGGTGCACGTATGTACAGTATACCAAATCTCAAGCGGAATTTTTTTCTGGACGTCAAAGTCGATGCGTATTAATAAAAAACTTCTGCAATGGCTTTCAACTCCGACACAATTTACTCTTTCGCTGTAATGCTGTGAGTATAGCATTAAGTATATAAACTGATGCGCATAGAGTAAATCGAAAGCTCTTACTGATAATTACGGTTTTGGATTTTATCATCATCAGGGTTGATTCGGTTTTAATAACTATCCACTATAACTATGATTGGCTTCATTATATTAAAATCAATGAGGCTTTCGCATTTTTACGGTGAAAATCCAGTAGAATACGCGTACTATATACTGATAAAAAATTTATAGATAGGAGAATTACAAGTAGGGAATGTAAATTAGTATTGACACTGCTGTACAATATGATAAGCTGACCTTCAAATTAGAAAGGCATCATTTTTTATCAGCCTGCATGCTCACATTTTATATAGTAGTTTATACTATACTACTTGAAATATAGTTTCTACAATCCAAAGTAAGTAAAATCTGTTAGTATAACGGGATTAATTTTAGTACCATTCTGGTTCATATAGAATACGCATATTTAAATGCTATGGTAGCGGCTGTCATCAATTTCAGTATCATGAGTTAGGATGCTAGCGTCTTTTCCAATCAATTCATTGGATAATCTTAGAACTAGGTATTGATAGTTATATTAATAATTAATTAATTACTATACAATACAGTACAAGCCATCAATTAGAAAAAGAGTTACATACCAAGTTTAGTAACCCTTGAGCTACGGGTAACCTTGCTAACTCTGCTATTAATAGCCGACGGCTAAGTGTAAGAGGGTTAGCCAAAAACTCCATAACTAACTGTAAATTTGATCAGTAATTTCATTACGAATAAAGAAAATAAAGCTATATCAAAATCAATCAATTCCATGCATCAGGTGAAAACCTATAAAATACGCAACAGACTTCCTTAAAAACGAATAGTAAGCTTAAACCAAAATCAAAAATATCGATAAATCGCTAATCAGGATACCGTCAATGAAAGAAAGAATTTATTTACACACACTGGGTTTCCGGTTTCATACAGCGTGCAACACAATACATGAAATTACTGCATTTGCAATTGCGCAATTTGCCAGATCTAAGCCTATCTTTAATTAAGCTTTAGCTAATATTTTATTCAACATTTTTATTTTTTCTATACTGGTTTATTCACAAGGCATTTGACAGTCACATGAGCACCATAATACGTGCTCTACTTGGAGTACTTTGTATTACTAAGCTATCTTATTACGTAACATCATATAATGTAGTTTATTTTATTAATAATAATTATACAACTAGAACAATTATTAAGCATACTTTCTGCCATTCCTAAGATACCGTCAATTTTTCTTCTAATTTCGATAGTAAAAAAATAAAATAATAGTGTAAGATGACACAAACACTATTCACAAAAGAGTACTACGTACATATTTGAAATTAAAACATGATCGATTTTTTCATGTTGTCGTCAAGCAGCTATTGTACAGTATGATTTATTGTTTAAACAGTAATCCACTTTTAACATTACGTTCGGATGTGTTTAATAAAACCTAAACTTGTCCTAATACGCTAATGAGAGCTGTATAGTTGCAACATATCGAAATGCTACTGCTACTAAGCAGCTCATTTTGAATGCTACGAATACATATGTCATTCTCGATACTGAAGAAGAATTTCGTTTATATAATCGTCTTTATAAGTAAACCAAGATCACTACACATATTGTACGATAACAGCATATTTACCTATATGTACTTTATGTAGTAGAATATGAAATACTTCGAATGGCTTATTTATGTAGCCACTTCCTGTTCCATGATTTAAGATCTATAAAAAGCTATAAAAGTTATAATAGCTGGGCTCAACTAAATTTACATTGCGTGTTATGAAAGGTGAAAGTGCCTTATATCTTTTTGGGCGTTTTTAACAGTATCACAAACAGATAAATGGATAATTTGAAGCATTGTAGAAAATTCATTATATTGCCTGTATGCCATTCTATGATGCTGTAATTGTCTGATAAGTTAGAACTTTATTACAGCACCGCCCAAAGCTCTTAAATTTGTAATCAATCAGTCGAGGTCTATTTCTTGACAAAAGTAAAAAATAGAGTAGCAAAGCCCTTATTAACTAATTACGGAATCTCCTTATTAAAATGACGAGATTTCTACTATGCATAAATATTCAGGAGAAAGAAGGGTTAACGATTTTTTAAGGGCTCCAAGCCAGAGTAAAAACTCTCACATCTTGCTCACTAACTATCCTACAGCACATCATGACGTATCGTTACGACCTTTGTAAGAATATTTAATCGATAAACCTATCTCACATTACTGTACTACTACAGTACAGCAATTAAATATTTGATGTTTCGCATCAAAGACTATTTCCTAGCCATTACCACAGCTCAGTTTTTGTTTAGAACTATTTTTCTATTACTCATACAGGTCTAGCAATTTTTTGCTACAATGTATACATACTTTAACGCAAACTTTGAGGCTATCTGAACATGTATGGTTCAAGTATATTTTACGCAATTATACCAAGAAGGTTATTTAGCTTTTACTCAATTTATGTCATATTCCTACTATGGTTTATTTGTAATGGCATAATCTCATAAAACTGCCAATTAATATTCTATTTTTATCTTTCTATTGTTATTTACTCTCCTTACTTTACCGCTAAATTAATATTTACTTAAGATACAGTGGACTACGTAAAAGATTACAACGCCGACAATAACCGTATCACCGCGTTATGCTAATATTGTGCGCTAAATTGGCAATTAACGCGGGCAATTAGATTTTATTCGATGGCTTATCACTTTTCTATGAATCTAGATGTTCCCTCACTCATTATTATAAAATTCTACGATCGAACATGTCTAAGTATTTCATATTATTATCTACAGTAAAAGTACTTCTAACCAAGTAATTGTATTATGCTGGTTAAAGTTGCAGTTACATTATCTTTAGATCGTTTACAACCTGATGTACTATATACGGGTATCTACTATAGTAGGAAGATAATTTATAGCTGTTCTAAAAAATGAAATAATAAGTATACGCATAATCCTGCTCTTGACAATCCAATCAAATTGGTTGTCCAGACATTGCAAAAGATTATTTTTAATTAGAATAATAAAAAATATATAAATTCTTACGCTGAATACAAGTATCTTTCAACCTGGGACTTCTACTATATCTTGAAAAATAGCATGTGCTGCGATATAACATGGATAACCACGAGGTATTATGTATTTAGTAAATCTCGTGTCAATATATTAATTTATCTAGGATTGCCTAGACAAGTTGAGCTTTTGATTACACAGTAATGTATAACTTGACTATACAGTGTACAGATGTTATACAAGAACTATACATGACCGACAGCGTTGTAAAATTAACTATTTATGATCTTCATAACACGTATTCGTCTTTCAAAATAGCAGACTCACTAAAAATAATAGTTTACTCGAATGCTTAGAATGAATATTTTTATACTATGTGTCAATTTTAGCAAGTAGTTGATACCAGAAATATCGTGAAAGGTAGTGGTTTATAGATTATCTTTAATAGATAGGGCCAGACTAATTGTACTCTTTTAAAGCTTTGAATCCGCATGATAGTATGTTAACGTGTAGGCATCGTAATGCAATTTTAAATTCTAACATCTTATGCATACCGTTATGTGTAATTGATAAATGATTATTTATTCTAAGCAGACATTTTTTAGTTCAACACAAAAGTCATTTATCTCATCAAGAGAATGTAGCAGACATCGGAGAATAGAAAATAAATTGACACCTGTATACATTAACAGAGTCCACTAGGCGATCAAAATTTTCTCACGTTATCGCTACCTTTCAAGTCGTTATGATCCGTAGTCCTTAAGGAATACTAGATGAATCTATCAATCAAAGCTATTACCAAGCTGAATGCTCGAATTAAGCTATTAATCAAAGAATCAAAGAAAACCGTTAAATCTCGTCTTCCAACTTGAATGCCCAGACATCAGTTTAAAAGTAAACTATATTATTTATTTTCTGCTCTGCTAATTATGGCATTGCAGTATGCAACTTTAGGCCGTCATTCATAATAAGGAACAGGAATAGGCGGCCATTTTTGCCTCTCAAGTTAGCATATTTATCTGCTTAGAGATGTAGACTACGACGTAT